CGGTGTTAAAGGGATTGTCAAGAGAATCATTTCAGGTATGTTAAGGCTATCCCTTCTTTCTTTTGGCATGATCTATACGACACAAACGAAACGAGCAAATGCATAATTTCCATAAATGACTCTATTCATAGAAATACTAGAGATGCTTATGTTCTTGATTCCCCACGTGTCATATTATTCTATCATCTGTTCATGGGTCTTAGAAAAAACGTAAGTTGATAAGTTTATTTTATGACATTAATCAAAGGTATAATGGTCTTATGATGTTCCGAGAGATTTTATTAACGTACTTCTTATGTATTTCATGCATTTATACATGTACATTGATCCATGACCAGATGACGTTATATACACATATATTATATGTATATGGGATATGGGAAAAGGTTACGGCATTATATACGCACCACCACCTTATCAGCTGGTATACATTGATGATTTACCCACAATGGCCGAAATGATATGATGGGACCCTCAGAGGCTTGATGATGTTATGAATGCATATACCACCTATGCATGGTATGACAGTTATATGCATATGCATGACATTATAATATTAAATGATTCACAGAGCTATTCAGATATACATGTTGAGTCTTTTACTCCATGTTTCTCTCATGTCTATTGTTTACTAATTTTCATTCCTTACATACTCGGTACATTATTTGTACCGACGCCCCTTTTATCGGGGGACGCTGCATTTCATGCCTGCAGGTCCTGATAGACAGGTTGAGAGTCCTCCAAGTAGGCTATCAGCTCAGCGGAAGGTATTGGGGCGCTCCATTTGCTCCGGAGTTGCTTATGTGGTCAGTATGATTAGGACATGTACTGATTAGTATGGCAGGGCCCTGTCCCAACCTTTATGACATTTATGTACTCTTAGAGGCTTGTAGACATATGTCGTGTACGTAAAAGATTGTACGGCCTTGTCGGCCTATGTTTTGAGTTTATAAATGATCATGTTGGCCTATTAGGCTCGTATGTCACGTGCATATAATGATGTAATAAGAAAGCTATGTTACGTTGGTACTCGGTTGAGTAAGGTACCGGGTGCCCGTCGCGGCCCATCGGTTTGGGTCGTGATAAAAAGTGGTATAAGAGTAGTTCTGTCCTAGGGAGTCTACAAACCGTGTCTAGTAGAGTCTTGTTTATGGGTGCGTTGTGCACCACATTTATAAGCAGGAGGCTACAGGGCATTTAGGACTGTCACTCTAGATCGTGTGGTAGAGCTCAGTTGTAAGAACTCAATTTCCTAAACATTATCTTATTTAGAATACGACGATGCCTACATCTAGAAAGATGGTTGGTAAGAGATTGAATGTGGTTATGGAAGAGTTGAGTCAGAGGAGAGTAATTTTTGCATCATGCTTATGATGGATAAATATGAGGTGTTCAGCAGATCATGTGTGTACTAAGATGTGTAAACTTCTTGATAAGGATCCCTAAGGCAAGAATGTCTATCCACTCTTACGGTAAAAGGAATAAGAGAATCGGAAGGTAGATACAAGTTTCAGCAAGTAAGAGAAGCAAGATAAAAAAGGGTACGAGCTACCCAGCTAATGAAGATTATCGCAGAGGAATATAAGCCTTTTGAGTAGTATAAGAGAAGGCATGATATCAGGATCTAGCTGGAGTTAGGGTAACACAAAATGGTAGATGGATTGTTAGCGTTAGCTGACATTTCCGAAGAATATTACAAATGTGTTAATAGATCTCCTTGTGAGATACCCAGATGGTGCACTCTAAAATAGTACCACTAGATATGAGTACTACAAAGATAGGCACTGGAAGCCTGAAAGGGATAAATATTATCTTAGTGTGACTCCCGCCCCTAGTAGAAAAAGAATGTTAGGCAACCCGAAGAGCCAGTAGATGGAGCAAGGTGAGCTAAGAAAGCAAAAGAATGTCTTGTTCGAGTTTTTAGAATAAAGTAATAGACATAAATGTTAATTGAAATAGGAAGAGAGTTAATGAAGCATTATGAGTAAGATATGATACATGGATAATAACGGTAGATCAAAAAGATGACAGTATTACAGAATCTATAGTCAAGTGAAGAAAAAGACGAGAGGTGACAGGCCTTGAGACAACAAAAGAGTATAGGCCATAAAGTCATATCCTCATTTCGAAAAATAAGTCTGTGACTCCAACGCGACTACCAAAAGGAAAAGTTAGACCCCATAGTAATAAGAAATCAGCATGGACTGGTGAACAAGATAAACTAAACATGAACTAGGGACTGAGTAATAGTCGGCATCATGAGAATTTCAGAGATTGCGTCCTGGCGATAAGAGAATGGACGACAGAAGAATAACCCTTAAATGTCATTTAGGAAGACGCTTCCCTAAAGCAAGCAATGAAAGAAAAGTTAAGCTTAAGGGACTATGTGTGCCAGTTATACTAAGTGTCACCCTCGTGAGTAAGGAAATTTGTTATCCTTGGTACAAAAGGGTTATCGCGAGGCGAGTAAGGGTCATCGATGATGTGAAAAGACGCCAAAGATGAAGAGGTAAAATATTTATAGGTAGATCGTCGTAGCTCTAACTCTTAGTACTCCCCTAAAGGGGGAAATATGGAGTAATGTGGCATTAAGTCAGAATTAAGTGGTTCTAGTAATTATGAAATGGTAAAGGAAGATTGCGATAAAAATGAGAAAGGAATGAGATTACACTTAATCAGCTCCAACGTATATGCTACGATTCCAGAACATTGAGCTATGAATTCAGCCAAATTTGACTGGCCCTTACAGCATCTCCATTTGCAGTTTGCCAATGTGAAGGTTCCCTAGAGTTGTTTTGTGAATTCCCTGGAGTCTAGCGTGGAGTTGATTGTTATGATTGTGGCCTGCTTCGATGTCCAGTTCTTTCATCAATAGCATCTCCAATTTGGTTTCTAACTAGTATTATCATTTGATTTCCTATCATGATATCCCTTTACTGATGACAAGCAAAGCTCAATGAAGAATTATATTTTGGAATAATAATAAAATTATTTGGTCCCTACAATAGACGCCAAACTATTTAAATAAACACTAATAATTAGATTAACCAACTAAATTTATAAAATTAAGCCACAAACAATCGAATTAAATTAATTTTTCTTCATTCTTAAATGATCTAGAGACAATTGAAAGAACTGCTGGGCAGGGTTAATGGAAAATCTGGAATATCTCGGGATCTGCTGGTTCAGAGAAGGTATGTATTCGGACACCTGTGACCATCTAGTTCTATAGTGACTTTGACTAGAAAAAACAAGATGTCCCATGACCGGGTTCTTGTTTTCAGTGTTCAAGCTATATGACTCCGAAAGACTTGGTGCTGACTAGGAAATTTGACTAAGAAATACTTGCCACGTGTTGACTCTATGTTGTCACATGTCGTGTACACCTTTTATCAATACAAGTATGTGCCACCAAAGAGACAATAAAGTAACCAATCGACAAATCTAAGGTCAACATTTTTGGTCGGATAATAATAGTGAAAGAATTGACCTAGAACTTGGGAATTGGACAAGAAAATCCAAAAGAAAATAGTTTCTTAAATTTTTGTTTCTCGTACAAGGGGAGGTGCCATGGTGTATGCTATTTGTTGATGACATAGTCCTGATTGACGAGACGCCAGACAGAGTTAATACTAGGTTGGATGTTTAGAGACAGATGCTGGAGTCTAAGGGTTTCAAGTTGAGTAGATCAAAAACTGAGTACTTGGAGTGGAAGTTCAGTGATGGGATGCATGAAGAAGGAGTGGAAGTGAAGATTGGTACTCAAGTCGTCCCCAAAAGAGATAGTTTCAAGTATCTTGGGTATATTATTCAAGGCAATGGGGAGATTGGCGAGGATGTTACTCATCGTATTGAAGCAGGGTGGATGAGATGGAGGCTCGCCTCGGGAATTTTGTGTGATAAAAATGTACCACCTGGACTTAAGGGCAAATTTTACAGAGTAGTGGTTAGACCGACTATGTTGTATGGGGTTGTGTGCTAGCCCGTCAAGAAGTTCCATATCCATAAGATGAAAGTACCTGAAATAAGGATGTTAAGATGGATGTGTAGACATACTAGGAAGAACAGGATTAGGAGTGAAGTTGTTAGGAACAAGGTAGGAGTGGCATCTGTGGAGGACGAATTGCGGGAATCGAGGTTGAGATGGTTCGGGCATGTGAAGAGGAGAGACATAGATGCTCCAGTCAGAAGGTGTGAAAGGTTGTCCATGGAGGGTCCGAGGAAGGGAAGAGGTAGGCCTAAGAAGTATTGGGGAGAGGTAGTTAGGCAGGACATGTCATTGCTCCAGCTTACGGAGGATATGACCCACGATAGAAAGGTGTGGAGGTCGAGGATTAGGGTTGTAGATTGACAGATAGTAGTGGGTTCCTCCTAGGCTTACTAGTAGTACTAGGACTATTTTTGTATTATCTTATTCATGGTTCTTTATTATTACATGATGTGTCATTCGCGCCAGTTACTATAATACATTGTTGTTACTATTGTTTGCTACTTGTTGCTTGATCTCTACTGTTCCTTGAGACGAGGGTCTATCGAAAACAGCCTCTTTATCTGCATAAGGTAGTGGTAAGGTTTGCGTACATACTACCCTCCCCAGATCCCATTTATTGGAATACAGTCGGTTTGTTGTTGTTGTTGTTGTTGTAATTGCTTGGTAATAAAGAAAATCCAATTGGAGAATAGTGATACAAAGGCATTGGTAGTCAAACTCGTGCATGATAATTCAAACTCTTGACCACTAAATTATGATGGGGGCTTAACTGTAATTACAGGAGAGTGGGGAATAGTGGGAAGCCATGCCGAAATCAAGTCATGGGGAGCACCAATAACCTTTATTAACCGAGTCAATAGTCTTCTTGTACCGACCATCTTCCGGAAATAAACCACCTTCCCTTAGACACGTAGTAATA